CCACCAAATTGGTGTCTTGCATTTCGAGTGTTCTCGCAGTTTTGAGGATTGCTCATCCTTTGCCAAGAGCTAACAACACAAGGAAAGACTGTTTCAATTGAACAGGTCCAAGGATGTTTCTTCATGTTTGAGACGGCCTTTGACTTGCTGAATTCAACCAGGCCGGACTTCTGCAGATGGTCTCGCCGGATCTCTCCAAGCAGCGGGCAGTGTGGGATCACAGGCATCCCTTGCAGACGGGGGTCGATGGTCATAAACCTGCAACGAAGGAACTAGAGCAAGTTCCTTTGGAAGGGAGCAATTCCCATCTAGCTTCAGAGGCTCTACCTCAGATGTGCTTAGACGGCGGTGGTGTTTCGCACGTTTCTTTTTTATTTTTTGGTGTGGTAGTTGCGGTACTTTTGAGGTGTCCTTCAGCACCACATTGGAGAGCGTTTACAGTAATGTGTGCATGTGTGGGGTGGGGCAGGCAGGTGCGGTGGGGTGGGGGTAATAACAATCGGTTCACATGCTATGCTATGCCATCGCTGTGCTTTTGGGCATCGTGCCAGATGACATGTGCTGTGTGCTGTGCATGGACTGGGGCAATAACATTCGGTTCGCGCGCTACGCCATTAGCTGTGCTTTCGGCATCGAGCCCTACGTGACGTGTGCATGCGTGGGGTGGGGTGGGAAGAAGAGTCTCAGAGTACACTTATATACAAGTGCAGCATTGTTCTTGAAGAAAGTTAGCATCGACGTTGAAATGAAAGAAACGTGGCCGACGGAGCTTGCATGGAAGACTTGCGTTGGAACACGTGAAGTTCTCGAAAAGTCACATGTTCAATTCCCCCCCGCAGTCAGGCGGAGGCATCAATGACACCGGACGAAAAGATCAGACACCCACTCAGGCTAAAGGTTTCCAACTTATGTGCAATTGACAAATCCATACAACACTTCACGATCTATGAGCCGTGGACCTAGTATACAGTGGAACTTGGTTGGGGAATCGCTCGGGCACGCCCGCATGTGCACCGCGAATTCGGATCACTTGTGCAGCACAGGATTTTGTGCTCTTGGATACGTTTTCCATCGTTTTCCACAAGCAAGTGTGTTTTAAGTTTTGAAGACAGAAGTTTTCCTCAAACTCAAAGTGTTAACCAGCACATTTTCACAACAAGAACAAGACCGACAAGGGTCAGCAAGCAAGACAGTCGAAACACAACTGTAAGGCTTGAGCACCTCGGAGTAGGTGAAGAGGGTTCCAAGAAGGCAGAGCATAAACACTCAGAACACGCCTGAAGAGGGTGAAGACCGAAGAAGAACAACAACTTGAACATGATAGAGGAGGTTGAGAACCAAACAAGTGATTCACAGTGCATTGTGCGCAAGTGAGCCAAATCTGTGGTGCGCAGGCTGTCTCCGTATGCAACTGTCTCCGGATCTCCGATAATTGTCCTTCCACATGTACTCAGAACCAAGGCAGAAGCCTCCATGAACCTCACCAATCCAGTGGCTTGGAGTGCCGAAGTGGATGGTTGATGTAAGAATCGGTTTGCCCTTGCGGTTTACCACCGATGGACCAATGGGGTATATATCTAGATAGATATATGTGTATAATTGTATATATACATATATTATTTGTTTGATTATCTGTATTGATTCATGACTGTGAGTTTCACATGCTCATGTGTTTTCCTTTCCATTCACATTGAGGCTGGTTCCTACAAAAGACTGTTGAAAGATGCAGCCAGACAGGCGGGCCTGCAGCAAAGGTGCTGGCACTGGCTACGAAAAGAGTCTCCACAAATGTTTTGGAGGTTCTTTGGGTATGTCTTCAACAGAAACAAGAAGCTACTAGGAGCAAAGGGCATCGCTACTAGTAGCAAAGACGCCACTAGGGGCGCTCCTGGCCTTACTACCAGGAGCAAGAAGCTACTAGGAGCGCAATGATAATAAAATTTAATATAATTTAATTATATATAATATAATATTTATATTTATAATTATAGAATTATTTATTGAATAATTTATATTTAATGCTGATATTTAAATTAAAATTGCTAATATTATTTATTGGTATAGGATAAGGAATATAAATGTATGTATATATGAATAATATTATTAAAAATTTTTTGAGATTGGTGATTAAATATCGAAATATTGTTTATTTTTTTTTGTTTTATTGTATGTTTAAGTAGATTTAAAATATATATAGATATGGAAACGATTAAATTGATTATAGTATTTTTTGTTTTTTATTTTATTTATATTTATTATTTTGATTGGTAATATGCATTAATTATTTTATATTGAATATATATTTATTTATTTTTATTTATTTTTTTTATTATTTTTGGTATTTTTTTATTGTGGATATTAATTTGCATTATTTATTGGAGGAGGAGGAAGAATAGGAGGAGATGTAACTGAATGGGATTAATGTGTTTTATTTTTATTTTTTATTTAATAAAATATAATTTCTTTTATATTTTATTTTTATTTTTCGGTTTTTATTTTTATTTATTTTTTTATTTTCTTACGGTTTTGTTTGTTTTACTTTGATTGGCATGAATTCCCTTTTGTTTTTTTTTTTTTTCTTTTTTTTTATTTTCTTCTTTGTTTGCGTTATTTATTGTTTATTAAGTTTTTCGTTTGGTTATTTTTATTTTTCTTTGAATTTGATTTATGTTTTCTTCCGATTCTTTAAAGGAAATCGATTTGGGAAGGAGGGAGTAAGACGAAAACAAATATTTGGCGTAGTCGTTTATGGGAACCGGGAAAATTTTTAGTAGATGATTTTGAGAATTTAGTTTTTTTTAAATCACCGGTTTTATTTATTTTCTATCTACTTGGCTAAAATATTATTTATAACCCCTTTTTTATTAGTGGAAGTCCGTTTCTGTTTGCTTTTCTTCGGTTCCGAAAGGAACGTTCGGTATATCGAAGAATTTTAAATCATTTTTGGAATGGAATTAAATTGTGGAAAATTGTGGTGAAGCAGATTGCCGGGAGCTCCTAGAGAACGGCTACTAGAAGATAAGAAGAAGAGATTGTTATCCGCGTCCGAACGCGATGTTTAGCAATAAAAGAACAACTCCGAAGACGATTTTTTAATCGTTTTTAGGGGAATTTAAATTATGAAAAATTATCCATCGAGATCGAAATTACAATACATTTATAATGGGGTTCCCTAGAATTTATTAGGGATAATTCATTAATTTAATTAAAGAAAAATATTTCTTCACCATTTAAAAGGATAATTCCTTCTATATTATTTCTCGAAATATAGAAAATCTATTATATAATTAAAAACGATATTCCCAAATTCGTCTTAATAACCGACATATAATCAAAACAATAAAATAAAAAACAAATAAATTCAAAAGAAACACAAAATATATAAAACCTATTTTAATTCTAAATATATCATGCATAAAATACATATAATACATATCTTTACATTTTTACATGCTTAATATTCATATTTGCAAATACAATCATAAATAATAAAATAAAATGCCTTAAATACTATCGACTATTAAATTTATACGCAATCATCCGTATATATTAATTCCGAAAATCGTTATCATTTATACCGCACCAATATATAATATAATAAAATTATAAACAATTCTTATAATAAAAATCGCTATCATTTACATCGCACCAAAACACAAACATTCAAATATCCACATTTAAAGAAAAAACATAATGCAAAATTCATTTTTTTTACCTTTAAAAACATATTTAAATGCAATAATTCATTCTTATATAATATTAAATTAAAATATATATTCCGTAATTTAAACGAACATAATATTAAAACAATAAGAATCAAATTCAAAAATATCTTCCTTTTCTCCTAGCCCCCGCCCCCGAGCCCCAAATACCTAATATCCAACAATCGGCGACAAGGAACGGAATCCTTGTAATAATTAATATTTTATTACTATTATATATTCAAATATATATTTATTTTAATAATCGATAATATATTCAAATTTCAAGTATAACTAATTATTTATTTTTTGTATTTGGAATTTGTATGACTAACTTTGAATCAATGCCATCAAACGTTGCTTGCATCAGGCAAGCGGCCCAGATTATCAATCGATGAATGGAATCTGCAGGCTTAAAGATCTGGGACGCTCGCAGCACTTGCATTGAGTCTCTATTGGACCTTTGGTCAATACCGATACCATGAGCCTTCGTGTTTTCCCAGCTGGTATCATCTGAAGGTGAAACCAATCGAGCGCAAGGAATTAATAATGCAGAAAAGGCGGTGTGTTCTCTTGTCAGGTGTCTTCAAAAGACATGTTTGTTGCGCCAGGCTCTTTGATCTGGCCATGAGCCAAGAATACTCAACTCCGCCTTTATACACTAAACTCTAAACAAACAAATGCTATGGCATTCAAGCACACGTGCCTCGATTTTTAGCTCGCCCAGTGGCGTGTTGAACCGGGCTGCCCTTGTAGCAGCCACATATTCAACTCCTGGCCGGCTCCTCCTGCCTTCTCTTTTGACTTATTGAAATGTGAAAAAGAAATCTACAAATTACAGTTCAAGGGGATCGATGAACATAATGTTCCTTTGCACTTCGGGCTTTTAGCTCCATGGACATACAAGTACAGCAAAGAGATGCACTCCGGCAAGCTCTGGATATTGCTTCTTCCCCCATGGATGTGTACGGGCATTTTAGTCGGCTAGAGTGATTTCACGAGCAATATGAGATTTGGAAGACTTCATGTGTTTCGCCACCGTAAACACATTCTATTCTCCACACACTGCAGGACAGGCAGCATGCAAATCGTTCACAACCTCAATCTGCAAACTCGCATTGGTTCAACTTGCGGGAAGGGGTGAAACCTGAACGACGAGGTGTTGTTGCTCACTTCACAAATTGTACGGATTTCCCAATGAATTCATGATCAATTGGACATCAAATACGAATATGCCTTTGGATTATCATTTTGGATCGTTCTGTGCATCACCCACATCCGAGCCAGTCCTTTGGTCGATCAAAAATCGGCGTCCCAACCAGGAGCTGGGTCCTGGTAAAATCAGCTCAGCCAGGGAGAGGCTGATAACTCGAGTTTAACCGATTGGATAGAGATCAGCATGGGGCAATGGAACATTAACATGGGCCTGATGACAGGGAGTGAAAAAATATGAACAGTTCTGGCAATTTTTGATAGAACCATCCCACCATCCACCCAACCACCTGCTGTCCTCCCAGGGCTCCTCTTGCGCAGCACATCTCGCCTAGCGAAACAGCGAGACCAAGCCAGGCCTCTTCCTAAACCATCCTCAGGGTGGGGCAAACGGGCAAACTATCCCATTGGAGGTGTCATCTACCACGAACCCCTGTGGGGCTGTCTGGCTGTCCCCCAGGTTTCTTCGATGTTTCAAAGTTTCTGGTGTTTTCCATCCTCTGTTGGTGACCCAGAATGACCCAGAAGTGCATGTCTCAGACTCATTTCCCATCAGTCAGTCTTCAACCTGACTTTTGCCCCTTGGAACAAAAGAACAAAGCTCTGAGTGCTCCTGAACTGTGCACAAAGCACATTGAGGACATTTAATTCCCTATGGCACCCTATGCTTTCCAATGCCCATGCTATGCTATGCCAGGCCAAACCTCCTCCTCCTCCACTGTTGGCAAATGGTCGGTGTCTGCAGGAAGGTTCGGCTTTTCTTTGTCCTACCAAGCGAAACGTGCCAACGACACACAACGCGAAAAGCAAACCTCTGCAAAGGTGTTCCATACCACTCCGGTAAGACCGAAAAGAGTATCCTCTTAAGTGTTTTGACCCAATTACTTGCTTGGTAGTGAGCGGGCAAACTGCGAGGCTCAAGACTCGTGGTACCTCATGCCAAAGTATAACAGCTTTGATTGTTAATGGTATCTCGTTTGGTCGTTTGGTCACCTACGGTCAAAACTGTTACTATCATTCATTCAGTAGCATGCATTTCGGAAGATCAATCACTCACTCTTCTCAGTAGCCCGAATGAGGTCGTTTGAGTCTGACCCGAAGACAAGGGTCCTCTGCATAGGTTTCGCTACTGGGAACGAAAGGAGGTTCTAACTCTCGGCCCAGCAGCTTCTCCCAACCTTACGGTGCAAAAATGCCCAAGGAATCGAGCAGGAATTCGGAAAGCTTTCCAAAATTTGACATGACACAGATATAGAGAGGCCCCAGCAAGTGTTGGACGAAAACGAAAGCTTCAGTTAAACCGGGATATTCACACCGCTTCGCGGTAGAAGCCGCCCGCACAGATTAAATGGATAATGTGTCAGTAGCACCCCACGAGGATACAGGTCGGTTACTGGTGTGGGAAGCCGCAACTTGTGCTGTCGGAGCCGGTCGGTCTGTCTGTGTCTGTATCGGTCTGTCAGTCTGTCTGTCTCTTTCGGGCAGGACAAGCGGACGAACACGCCCACGATGTCATTAATGCAGCATCCCCCAGGCTGCGTGCCCGGCATCGCGAACGTTTACTTCCGAAGCCATACAGTTCTTATCCATCTTCAAAAACAATCAAAAACACACCATTTCCAAAAACATGAAAGCCCCCCCCAAGCCAAAGCTTATTGAGCGGATTAATTCAACAGCTATCTTGCGGTTTGCGCGAAGCCTACACAACGCCTCAGCACCTTCGGTGCGGGCGGATTTGCATCATATCAACATTTGATTGCTTGCATCTCGCAATCTCTTCACAAACTTGAACAAGTGGTCAAACTTGGTTCGTATTGGTATAACTAACTGTATATAACATAACATGTCGAAGAAAGCAAGCAAAACATTGCTGAATTGCTGGGGCAAATACACAGGTCGTTGAAGAACGAATGCTTCTTGAGCTTCGCGTAGCCTTTCATTGCAGTTGTTTACCAAACAGTGGAACATAGTGGAACTAAGCAAGTTCAAGTGTCAACCCACACTTTTACCATTGGTTCCACCTTCGTGTCCGGCTCCCAGCCGCTTCTTTGGGTCTCGCGTCAACAAGCCGCGGATTAGACCTGCAGGAAAGCTGGAGTGCCAGATCAATGGATTTGCTGGAGGCAAAGGGAGCCAGGTTGAATGAATTGGCAAGCCCAAAGTAAACCATCTCTATAAAGTCGCGTAGCTGATCTCTGTCATTTACAGTAATTTAATTTGACCGTACACGAGGTCATATCTGCAACATCCTGCAGCCAATGAAATGATGATGTGGTACAGTAGTACACATTAGCATCTTCTGCTTTTTCCCTGTTGTGTCTCTTGAACCTATTCCGCTTGGCAAAACAGTCTTTTCTGGAACTGGGAGCTATTGAGGTGCTGGCTCATGATATCATCGGCCATGGGCTGCTTGTCGAACCTGGCTTTTGACTTTAATCAAAACTGCAACGGATGTTGAGTGATGATTGGTGACATTTTGACTGCTCTTTTGGCTATACAAAGCGCGGTATAACATGACTATTATACTGTATCTATTATCAGGCATTCTTGGTGTGCTTTTCGATCATTGAGTTTGTACGTGACAGTTGCAACTTCAGGAATACATGTGGGCGAGACCAGGAAGGGAACTTGAGCTCGGCACGCAGGATTTCATGGAAAATCCTCAGTGTTCAGCATGGATTCTGGTGCAAGTAGGCAAGAAGCTACTAGGGGCTCCTGGCATCGCTACTAGGAGCAAGGACGCTACTAGGGGCTTCTGGACGTACTACTAGGAACAAGGACGCTACTAGTAACCCTTTCCGGTCCACATCGACTCAGCAAGTTCACTGCTCAAGCGACCTGCAGTCTCTTGGGAACGCTGTGCACTAAGGCTGATGCTGGCCATGATTGGTGCAATTGCTCGCGAAAGGGAAGTTTCCGATGACCTCAAAGGACGGGACGCAACAAAGCATTCGGAGGGTGAGCTGTAATGGGTGATCTGTGGGTAGGCGCACAAGAATCAAGAGCAATCTGAAGTACTTTAGAGAATCTCTAGACTTCAGATGAGTCAAAACTGGGAAAGCCCAGGTGTAAATTGGATCTGAAAGGTATCCTCCTTGTCGCTTCGTGCAATCAAAATCCAAACACTTCCTGCGCCAAGGACAGCGCAAACTCGTAGAGGCAAATCCCAAGGCTCCACAAATCCGCAACGGTGGTGTGGCCCTAGCGCAGTGGGCCGCCAAGACGCGTTCGACTGAATTCGTAGAATGCTTGACGAGCTTGCTGACCCGAAAACAACATCGGAACCATCAACTGGTCCACTCTTCTTCAGGCCTTGCCCAGGATCATCTCCGGAGCCATGAACATCGGAGTTCCCTGAGTCGGATGGTTGACATGAAGGGGGCAATACGAGGCACTGTCTTTACGAACCAAGCAACCGCATGGGCGAACGCTACAACCGGGAATCGACATTACATATTTGTTCTGGATCACGTCGTTTACCTTGAGCATAGATTAATGCCCGGGGTTCATATCATGGTCCCGTCAACTAGCCGTTTACTATGGCGGAAGTAACATACCAGAGTAAATCTCAGAGTTGCATTGCAAAAGCAATAAGAACTAAGTATACTACAGTATTTTTTTCGATTTGGGCGCTTTGAAGGTCAAAACGAGGATCGAATGCGGTCTGGGAGTGCCCACCAATATATTGGTACATGCTGGTCTTGACCCCGAATGCTACATAGGACCCTTTCTAGCGCAGCAACTTGTAGGCTAGAAGACAATCGATGCCACCCCATCAGCTATCGGATCTAAAACCCCCCAAGGATTTCTGCAGATTTTCAGAAATCGATACGATTTCACTCGGTGGCAGTACTGTACAGGCACTCTCCAGTGGGTTCACACTGGTTCTCAGAATGTGAGGACCCACCATAGTGACATAAACCAATTCACTGGATTCTCGAAGAAAAGGAACGAACCATCTTTTGTATCCTTAAACAGTCAGGACTCAGGACCATCGACCTTTGGCCAGAACCTTCCACAACCATGCCCGCCTTGAGTGGGCCGTAACGGGTGTTGGTGATACGGCGAGCAATGCCAAAGTCAATGATCTTCAAGTAGCCCTGACAAGGTGAGGAAGTAACAGAAAGTAGATGAAATCGTCTCACCGGAATCTGAAGAATATGTTTCCCACATTTTTGCAAAACCTCTAGACTCTATATACTTTGATTGATGTGGCAAGCTTGAAACTGCTCGCCTGCTGGTCAATGAGGCAATTCTCGCTCTTCAAATCCAAGTATGCAATGCCTCAAATATCCAAAGGCTACGCCAATCTGCAGTTATATGATGTTATGATATGTTATGATGTGGAGATGCAGCCATGGACAGAAACATCTGAGTTACAGCTATTTCCTGCTTGGAGGTCTGAGAATGCCACGTCTGGCATGCAGGAACTCGAGTGCAAGGACAATGGACCCAGTGTAGAATAACGCCTGTTGGCGGGAAAGATCATGACTCTTGGGTGTTCATCCTGCGCACTTGACGCGTCAAATGCAAAGATCTCCCATGAAGGAAGCGACCCAAATGACGAAGCCCTTACAAAGCCATTTGGTCCGAACGTTGGCTCCCTTGGCTGCGAATCGGCGCAAGGCCCCTCGCCGCCTGGCTGTACTTGAGAAGTCCCAGAGAGTCCAAAGCATCAAGGAGCTCTCCACCGCTGACCAGTTCCATCAGGAAGTACACTCGACTCCTCAAGAAACATCAATGTCAATGACATCCCTGGAAAGTGAAGTTCTAAAAAATAAATTTGGTGTGGCGTCAACAATAAATCACCCAACATCCACTGTTTGTTGATTGCGGTCGCGGTGTCTTTTCAATGTCCTTTCAAGGAATTTAATTTGAGAAATGCGTGGCGCTTCCAGCTCAAAAGCTGTCTCTGCCCAATGCCAGTCCACTTGCTGGAACAACACAGGGCACGGCATTCAGAATCAACATCGACCGCTTGTCTGTGGGACTTGGAGAAATGAGACCGTATGGAATGACCCAACGACTGAGGCCAGCTCTCATTACGGAAGGAACGAACGAACTTGATGATGAATGGATGATCAACCTGGCCAATGCACCGAATTGTTCACTTGATGCTCATGGAAAACGGTGGTCAACCCTTCAGCGCCTCCTTCAATATGCTTAGCTCAGAAACGAGCGCATCTTGCACGTTCTTCTCCACCACGTCCCGCTTCCGCACACACTTCAGCGCGTACCTACCAGAATGATCGGACGGTTTGAAATTGGTAGAATCACATTGCTGATGAGGAGGAGCAGGAGCGTTGGATGGAATCTTCACTTTGCCGTATCTGAGTAAAAATACGCTTCCTACAGTATGCTTTGTTACTCTGCCCTGTTCACAAGACTGAAATCAATCAGATGTGGCCTGACGCCTGTCTTCTTCGCCCGCACCATCTTCACAATTCCGAAGCCCCCACGCCCAATGACGCGGACAAACCTACAAGGGTCCGGATCCAACCAGACCAAGTGTGCTAAGAACATGTTATGCGTTTACGGACACGAGATTTGTTTCACGACTCCTGGACTTGAACTCCAATCTTAAGAACCGCCATTTGCGGGGGTTTCCGAAGGTTTTGGAGCTGCACAGCGACATGGAGTATCATGTCCCCTCATGTCCTGTCCAATGTAGAAGAAACTATACAATTTCCAAGCTCCAACCCAGCAATCTTTGGTCTGCTGGAGCTGTGTGCTCTAGGCTTATGGCTCCAAGTCGGTGAACGTCAGGTTTGTGTCCTCAACAATGAGGAGACCACAAGCGAAAAGGACATGAGGGTGTAATGTCTATCCATCATCGTCGATGAATCTCACAACGCCGGGTCAATGAGCCTCATACCCTTCAACAGAAATTTACTGAAGCAGGTCCTGCAATGAGATGCGGTCTTTGAGGTAGTCCAGGCAAGGGCCCTGCCTGGTTGAAAGCTACAATATTCATTGGCAATGCCCAATGCTTGGCAATAGGTTTATCTGCGAAAACTTGCGTGGCAAAGTGTCCTTTGCCCGCAACATCAACAATGTAGAGACTAAGTTCTATCTCTCCAGGAACTCGTGCACCTCTTTCTTGCATCTTTGGAACTAACGTTCTTGACTATTCTCTCATGGTGTTCACTGGTAAGATCCTGGCATCATTTGATGGAAGGTTTCTTTGCCCATCTTCCACAGCTCGATATCCTGCCATCACTTCAACGGCTGACATGAGAACTCAGAACTCCTCGTCGATTAACCTGTTGAGTCCAACGATTTGAAGTTTGGCAGCGATAAAAAGACCTGAAGCCTCGCGACATACGTGAACATCTGAATAATATCATCTGAGTGTCCCTAGGCTGATATCTCAACCCGGGGGCTTTTGTAGTTATATTATAACAGGAACCTTGCGTGCATATCCAGCACATAACAACACTGCCGCCAACGCCTCCCAAACAAAGGGAGGGGGCAGCATCTATACCTTATAGCTCTAGACTTCTCTTAGAAAGAACACTTAGTCAATTCCTCTGCAAGGCCGTACCTTGCAAAGCCCGTACATTGCCGGGATTTAACACCGTCTCAAAGTCTCAGCCCACCAAAATGCTATTCAGCTTTCGCTGATCTGATCAGAACTTCTGTGCTCTACCCCAAACTCACACCAAACTTGCTTGGTTTCCTGATGTTTCATGCGTCTTCATTCAACCAAGGGAACCAATAGGTCCTGAATGGTTCTGATCCACACCATCCATCAGCCATTTCAAACCAGGAACAAGAAGCTACTAGGGGCTCCTGGCATCGCTACTAGGAGCATGGACGCTACTAGGGGCTCCTGGCCGAACTACTAGGAACAAGAAGAACAGGAACTTCAAACGTCCAATGGATGCACTGTCCCACCCTTCATCGCATCCCATCCGTCGTCCTCTAGGGCCGCAATGCTGGCACTCCGGATCTCACCACCCAGGAGTGCTCGCTCCCCGAAGTAGTCAGGGTCCCCTAGCCTGGCGTGGGTGGACATGACGAAACTTCTAGTGGCGTCCTTGCTCCGTTCGTTTCGATGCCCTTTGTTACTAGTAGCTTCTTGCTACTGGTAGTAAGGCCAGGAGCTACTGGTAGCGTCCTGTGCACAAAGCAGTTGTTGGAGTGAAATGATTGGAGGCCAGGCAGAAAAGGGCCACAGGGCGAACCCCTCCCTGTGAGGGGTTCCAACTCCGGGCCCTCCTTCCGACAAGACGCTGGTCAGCGATAGACTCATGCACATGAGATGTTTGTACCAGCTTGGCATGTCCGCGGCATTGAAGCGTCAAAGCCAATCGCCGCCACTCAAGGCCTGCGCTTCACCCGACCATCAATCTCGACACTCACAGCTCCTTTGCGGATGATGTAGAAGTGCCTCAGTTTCATTGGATGGCATGGACTCGGACCTTCCGTTACTATTTCACCACAGGGCACACTGGCAAAAGAAACTCGCAGTACCACTCACTAGTGCAAACAAAGCACATGTAACAGGAGGAGCATCACTCTTGCAACATGTGCATAGATCCATGTCCTGTAAGTTTTATTGTTCGCCTGTATCACTATGAGGTGCACGCCTGCAATAGCAGAAAGTCTTGGTGGATACCTGTTGCCCTCTTGGAAGGACCCTGAGCTCCTGACGTTCCCTGATCCCCTTGAGAAAAGACCTCATCTTTGTTAACAATCGCAGGCGGTCGAAGTTTCCTTTGGCTTTGTCGCCAATTTGGCGGTCACGAAACCTCCAAGGTGATTCTTTGTGCCAGCTTTCTAGCCAAGCAAAGCCTGAGCTGATGATATTGCCTCTGTGCTTGTGAAAGTTTGTGAGCATATGCAATGAAACCTGTGAAACCTTGTTCCGGCGGATACCTGGAAAAGAAAACTGACCCTGGCCTGCGGTAGATTAGATCAATCTCGTTGGTTTAGAGCTCAATCTAGGGCTGAGAGACACTCTCTACGTTCTGAGCATCTAGCCCGGGCCCCCTTCTTGACCTTCTCGATTTCTAGAGCTGCGGCCAAGCCTTGGACATCAGGTGGTTTGTGGGATGGCGCACCCTTGAGAACCTCATGACCCATACTTGTCATATGATGTAACTTCGAATCATATTAAAAAATATATATACTTTCTGGAAAAAAGTGGATAGTGGAAGATCGAGCGCCCTTAGTTTGGGACACAGGTGAGTGGTCCTAGCAGAAGTCACTTCGGACAGAGGACTACTTGGGCCCAAAGTTCAGAATCATCCTGTCTATGAAGAGTCGGACGACCTGCCAGGCACAGTGGTCAGCAGTCGCACAGTGGCAAGGCCGATTGCAGACCCGATATCACCTATGAAAATCCGATATGGTTCTGCCTGGGACCTCCCACGTTTCAGCTGCTCCATCGAGAGTGTTGCGAAAATGAAAACCGACTGAAGGCTTCTCACCTGTTCAAGATGGCTGGGAAGGGTTTGTCTTTGTGGACGAGTTGGACATTCCAAGAAAAGCAAGTAAGTGAAATGTCCAACACCATCTGCCATAGTCTGGATGGATAGTGCCATCTGCCATTGAAATCCTCCAAAGAGATGTCAGTGTAACATGCGATGCTCGATCTCCGATCCACGGGGCCCACGAAGATCCCCAAGGAAGACGGACGACGTGTCGCTTTCTCGGGGTTAAAGTATCACATGTGGTGCATTGAAGGCGCTAACTACCACATCTTCCAAGCAACTAAAGCATACTGAAGCTCTAGACAACTATGATCAACTATATGAATAGCTTCTCCCCACGCCAAAGATTCAGCCAGCGGTCCAAAACCCCAAACCGACTACAACTTGATTAATTTATCAAACAACTTGGACGTATTTGGAGGTTCGGTGTGAGGCACAACAGGCCTTGCTGTCTTGCTCGACGGCCCCATCAAAGTTCTCGAAGGCCAGGATACTGCCCAAGTCCTCAAGAGATGTTTTCGCGGCAGCAACTCGCAGAGGTGGTAGGCGGTTTGGTCAGAAACCCGGACACCTACTTGGCGGCATCGAGGCGTTTGGAATCGTTTGGACAGGATGCGATTGGGTAGTGTCGAAACCGTGGCAGGATAATCGATGACTTTTGCAGAACTGCTGTATTCGTTCGACATGGGCAAGATCTCATTGTGATCCCAATCTCTGCCCAACCAAACAATGTAAGCACCATCAATCATCAACTGGCCTGTCCCATGTCTTTCTTCCAGAACATTTCAATGCACAAGCGCGCTAATGATGACTGCAAACGAAAGCAGTGTTGCTTTTGTGCTGTCCTCCCGCTGCCAAACAGCAAGCTTGGAATCAGCCAATGATCTCACTTTCAAAGGTGCCAACCTCATTAATACAGGAATTCTCATGGCAAGTGGAAGTGAACTGTTCCTGTCTCTGCCTGTCTCTCCTCCACCTTTTGTGCTGAAAGGAACATCCCAAGAAGCAACGATACACTCGGGCTCTGGACTGATCGTTGTAGGGGATGCTGAACATGGTCGGCCTTGGCATCGCAAGCACAGTTGCCTTGGAGAACTACCCGGAATGAGGCAACAGGACAATAATCCTTGTCAAGAAACCTGCTCGCAACATTCTATAGCCATCCTTTCTTGTGGGGGATTTGGAAAAAGACACCAATTCCCTAGCAGTTTCCAGGGTTGAGTTTACTTTGCCCTCCCTGCAACGCATTTGGCATTTGTCAATCACACCACCTTTTCGCACACAAGTTTACCTAGTCTTAATTGACTGCGGCACTATTTTTACTTTACATATGACATCATATGACATATTGTTTACCCTGCATTTCTCTTGACATCACACTCGCAAACCCAACCAGGTGCCCCAGCGATGCGCCCGTGAGATTTTGCGTGCCGATGTCGTCCAAAGTGAGCTCCACTTCACCGTTGAGGGCAACCATCACACGGACATCCTGCGCTCCATGTTCTGAGGTGGGAACCTCAAAGGTTGTGGGATGGTCCCAAATTTGTGGAAGCACCCTCAGAGGAACATTTGCAGCATGTAGTGGTATACACAAAAGAATCATAAAAGCCATCTACACCTCGGACTGATCAGCCCTGTGACCCGATCGGGGTCCTCCCAGTTGTGCTCTGAACCTGGCCGGTTTGTGTGCGATAATGTTACCTGTTACATCCTGTTACAATGGATGTGGCCAGACACCCCGGCTACAGAAGTCTCACTAGCAAAATAAATCATACTAGTAGCTTCTTGTTACTAGTAGCGATGCCAGGAGATACTAGTAGCGCCCTTGCTCCTAGTAGCAATGTCCTTTGTTACTAGTACGTAGCTTCTTCTTACTAGAAGCAAGAGATGGCAAATGCTCTAGCCTATTTTCTATAGCAGTCCACCCCAAGACACAAATGATTCGGCTCAGGGTCTCCCATCCGACCAATTCGGAGCTGATGGTTGGTCACCCTTCACCAAAGCAAACGGCGGGGCCTTGGGGAAGGCACCGGATCTGGCAGCTACTGGCCACAGCTTCCCGGTGTTCTTGGTGTAGTCGCGAGAAGTCCTGGTCTCCAACGATCAGACAACATTGTTACTACTAGTAAGGCACTTGTTACTACTAGCGAAGAGAGGTGCATGCCATCCTGAAATCCATCAACATGTGTATCAAGAAGCTAGTAGTAACAAGTGCATCGCTAGTAGTAACAAGAAGCTTCTCACTTCTTTGCGCCTGGTGCTTGGCTAAAACGTAGAGTACTCGATGCTTCACCAGGACCTGCAAAGCGCGCTGCTGACTTGGACAAAAAAAGGGATCAAATATAAACACTGTGTAGCGGCACCCGAAGGCAATTGGTACCCTGCTTCGCAAAAGGCAGGTGAGTCCGCGTTTTTTTATCATAAATCATCCTGATAGTGTCTCGAGCTTGTAATCAGCAACGTGTTCTCAACATCTGACGCTAGTTCCAGTAGCACAAGAACAAACAACTGCCGAGCTCTAATAGCATCACTGGGCACTAGCTGCAAGTAGCTTGGTCTTTTGTTTGAAGGCGAACTCAATGAATAGGAACTTCCATGGAATTCCTCTGGTTCCAATATTTGAACTAGGCAACACACATGAAACAGTCCGAGATTGGTCGATCTGCCTGCGGTAGCTGATCTCCGAAGATGTTGTCAAGCAACGTGAGCTTGAGCACCAGTGCCCTCAAGCGTCGCACCAATTCAAACACCACAGTAATATCCTGCAACAAGGAAAAACAGCTCTGGTTCTGTAAACTTTCCCCGACATTTCTTCTTAAAATCCCATCAGCCAGTTAATCTAGGAACCAAATGAATAGTGCGAGCGCCTCTTCAAGGACATTACCCCCCGCCCTCAGCCTGGGGGAGCTTCGTTGAAGAAGCGTGAGCTATCCTGCGTCCCTATGTAGGAGCTAACTTAGCCCTTACTTAACTGTATATACGTAGGCGACTACCTAATTATGTAAGTAGTAGGGGGGGGCAGAGCGACCCTTAAAAAAGCAACTTCCTTTTGCCTGCACAACTCCCTGGGCTCTCCGGGCTCCACAAGAGTCGCCGCCCGCAAGGTGGTAGGCTGCTGGAAAGGCAGCTCATCCTGGTCAGGAGCTCTTTCTTCATTTCTAATTTCTATGGTAAGTGTCGGTGGATCATGTTGGATCTTTTGATGCGTTTCTTTAGGTTTCTTTTGTACCCCCCTGACATTTGGAGATGCAGGCTTCATATATGGGAGTTTGGAGATGTTTGGAGGAGGATGCCTCCAATTATTTATGTTCCCCCTCTGTGTCTTTGGGATATGTGCGGATGATTGTATTGGAGGCATGCATTTGCATTTGAGAACATTGAAAGGATTTTTGGTGGAGGACTCATGCTGCAGGTTGAAGTTACGAAGACGAAGAACATGACTTTGAAGACGGCCAGGTGAAATGTTATCCAAGGCAGCTCTCCCTTACCGCAGTCATATGTCTACTGGGTACCTTTGCCATGCAACTTGTGCTGGGTACTTTGTGACTCGACATCCTGCGAAAACACGACTCTCTCAGCGCTCTTCAATTTCTTCCACAGGTGGAGGTAATACCAACGAAAATGGGACTTTCCACTTTTGAGACAACGCAGTTTCTTTCTTGAGATCCACACTGCAATGTGCTTTTGAATACAGCACTATTCATTGTTCGGGATTTAGAACCAACCCAACATCACAGGCACAGATTCATGGCCCTCTTGGCATCTCTTCGCTTTGCAAGTTGCCAAGCGGTGATATTGGAGGCCCCTCGCACCTTGAAGTCCAGTGCCCGATCGCCCATCAAGTGGAACCTGGAACCCATCTGGTCGCTCTCAACCCGTTCTTCGGAAAATGCTGGACCAATCATCGCCATCCAAACTGTGGGTTTAGCGCTGGTCTGAAAGCCTGATCCGCTCGAGTCAGCTTTCCCTGACGATCTCACCACTTACAGCTTTCCTCCACTTGCAGTCACTGGAATCTGTTTCGATCTGTTTCGCTTGGTTTGCGACCTGAGAAAACTCTACAAGACAAGAGCTAAGTGGGAATTGCTGATTGCGTGAATTTTAGTTACCCTGTTAGTCATTAGTCAAATGCCTAGCCTGCCGATGTCGTCCATCTTCTGGTCACGAGACCTGGTGCGGAGACTGGCCGGGCCAGGTGATCTATGTCGGTCCCTATTTGATCTTATTTGCATGTACAAACTGAATTGACATGACTGCATCACAGCTTTGAAGCCCCTGATTTTGAGACATCACCTTCTTGGGTCTCCAACTTTCAAGGAAGAGCACACACACTCAAACTGGCTGACTGGCTGACCTCTAAATTTTCTGTGGATCAGCACTAAAGGTTTGTGTGCGTTGACTGAGCATGAGCGTTAGGAAGTTCATACCAATGTGTGAAGCAAACGATCCTGTTCCTCTGAGCTCTCCCACCACGAGTGCACCTCCCCGCTATAGAGGATGAACACCTGAGCTCCATCCGCAGCGCACACAGTGCGATTTGAAGAGCTGGTGCAGCATGGAGTTGCCAACATCACATCCGATCCGAGTAGTGGATGTTGGATGTTGGAGGCCATCGTTAGTAGGTTGGAGGCCATCTAAGGGTATCTAAAGTATCTGTCTGTTTTATCAGATCGAGATCGCAGTTCCCAGCCTCCTTGGTCAAGTCCCCTTCTTTCAAGATCACCTCTCCAGGCTCAAACGTCTTCATCTCGACCTCCATGGTGCGGGGCTTGCCCAGTGAGTGACATAACTGGAGTGATGGAGTGTGAGAAACAAACCTGGGTTGGATTCCATTGAATACAAGGTTGGGATCATCTTCTACCACTTCTGAATGAAGTAGGCTTCAAAATGCAGCCAACTTCAAGCGCGCAAACACATCAAAAAGCTCTTGCAGCAGGAGTGCGATGGAATGATCGGACATGCATGTGAAGCGTCTTTTACCGCCAATTATGGTGCCCTCATGGCCCGGAGGCATCCACCAAATGAACATTCTGAAAGCAAATTGGCCAGAAAGGTCAACCGCATCTGTCACGTCCTGTCACTGTTACATGCAGCAAAGACGTGAAACTCTGCCTGATCATAGAGACTCTGAAGCTGGTAGCCATTCAATCCGGACCTTGTGTCCCACTGCATGTTTCACATTCATCATTTCTTCAAAAGACTAGAAAAGACTCATGTGGGCAATGAGTTGATGTTGTTGACGCTAGAAACCAAAGATGGGATTGGCACGATTTTGAAGGGAAAACTCTTGTCCTGACTTTTCCTCCAAAGAACAGCAGCACCCATTGACATTGACATGCTGGTCACATACTTGGCTGCCGACAGGACTTCGCACACATTGGACCTCAAGACCTGAGTGTCAGACATGTTCAGCCAAAACTCTCTGAACTGAGACAACTCAGCAATTGCTGGCCGAGCAAATACACGCAAAGAACATACTTCAAATATAAAGTCTCACTATTCGATTGGAGGCCATCGCTATATCTTCTTTACCATGTGGCCAGAAATGGTCCCCAACGCTTCTCAACCCCATCAGGTCGCCCCACCTCGTCCATGGCGTCCACCACCGACATGCGTTTCTCTTGGTATTGAGCACTAAGAAGCTCTCTGACCTTGACAATCCCAAGCTCTCATGCTTCAGTCATTTCTTCTGGAACACAGAAACAGAACGTCTCAAGTTTCAAGATTATTTTTTTGGTTAAGGGCATCACCCAAGGTTCAAACTGCGAACCAGCTGGCTTCCAGCTACATTTACCTCGCGATATTTTTGGATAGTACTAAGACCAGTTCTTGCATGCCCTCCATTCCATACGCGCGAGCACCTTAGCAAGTGCAAAAGGTGACTTGGCAGCTGTGGCTTCTTGTGGCACTCAAGAGTTGAAAACTACAGTCTACTCACTTCCCCTACCAGCCTTCCTTCAGACCAGCAGACAGTAGCAAACCATGGCAAACCCATCTATGTAGCGCACCTCAATGCCTGAGTGATTCATTCACTTCTTTGCCTGTCTCTGAATGAGCGGACCTCCCAACCCGTGGGTTTCGGCCGGGTCCGTTTCCCATTACTTGATGTCTTTGGGGGAAATCCCTTTTGAGACTTTTTGAGGCAAACCGCAAGAATCTTCACAATATCCTCGGAGGCCTAAGGTGCAAACATCCTTGAGCGCACACCTCAGTGCAGGGTTGCTGCGCGAGGAATTTCAAGACCTACAAATTCTGAGAGAGCATCAAACGAGAGTAGTGACTGGCTCCTCAAATTACCATAAAGGACTCAAATTGTCGGGATCCTCGCGCTTAGCTGACTGTTTGGGACGTGATCTCCCTTTCAGCCCATCTTGTGTTGTGCATAGGTCTTTTGACAAGGAGCCGTGGCACTGCGCTCCCCGAAGAGAAGGAGCACACTCTCCCCAAAAGAAGTCCCTGGCCTGTGCCCCGCTCGCTGCACGAATGGATCAATCAAACTCCATTCGTGGTGATTGCAATTTGAATGAAGAACTGCTCCCTACTGCTACTTGCCATGTTCTTTATTAAGGCAGTACAGTATTCCAACAAACAGCCGCTGCATGCCACTACTGAGCTCCTCAAGAACGGCATTCCTGCCTCATACATGGTTTGTAAAGCTTGCGACATTGCAGGCTGAGTCTCACGCCCAATGTAACAATGGGCCACTCCATCCTTCAGGACGCAAAACTCACCCTGCGCAACCACAAAGAAGTGGGTACCTGCAGGCTACTAGGAGCAAGGACGCTACTAGGGGCTCCTAGCATCGCTACTAGGAACAAGAAACTACTAGGGGCTCCTGGCCTTACTACTAGTAGCAAGAAGCTACTAGGAGCAAAGGCCCTGCTACTCTCACCTTCACACCACATTGTCCCCTTCAGTGGAGGGGCACCGTCAGTGTCACCTTGACGCACCACCTTCTCGCCATGTTGAAATTCATAAACCTCCATGGCCTGGACGGAGCAAGGGCTTCAACCTCTCATCAATCTTAAGCAAAATGCAGCAATCAAAGCAATCGAACACTGAGGAGATTGATTTTCATGTTGAAGATGCACATATATATATATATATATAGAGATCTTATATAAAAGCACTTGCCCGGCTGCTCGAATCAATGGCTACCAGACGCAATATTCATTTTCTCTGGTCCATGCAAGATCCAGTCGCCAGAATGGGCATGTCTGAAGCTCAAAAGGGAGATCTCAGCTAAACCTCCTCCACTTGAGTTTCAAGTGCCTCCAGTTCAGGATCAAGCAACTTTGGTGGAATGATCTCAAGCAGCTCTTCAACTGCATGAGCAGCAACTGTCTGCTGCGCTTCTAAGAAACACCGCCGGGAATCCGCCCTTCTCTCATAGAACTGTTTCTTCCTTCGGGGATCGCTGAGGTCTTCCACGCTGGGAACCTTCGGACATCTTCTCCAAGTTCTTACATGTCTCGAGAAGCTCAAAGGTGCTCCCTCCGACTCCAAAGCTGGGACGCTCACGGAGACCTTGACCTTGGCAAAGTTGCGCACACCTGGTGGCGGAGTCACAGTGCGGCAGGTGTAGACCAAATCCGCTCGGCTAAGAGTTCGGTTGCTCTTCCTTAGCACGTGCTCCAGCAGCTGAAAAAGCCTAACCTTCCCAGGAATCTCCTTGTTCCTTGCGACTTGTATGGCAGCCAGCGGTGTTGAAGCATTTGCGCCAGTTTTTCGCCGCCGCCAAGGCAGCTCATCTGCACTGAGCTCGATTTTCCCTGCCATTGGCCCAACAATTCTCAGAGCGGCCTCTGCGGCACTCTCCTTGGCTAAAGAAGACGTGAGACCTGTGCCCTCAAAGTAGTAGGTCCTGGACGGCCAAACCCGAAGGTCAGATTCCGGTGGATGGCTTGGGTGTTTTATCCTAGTTTTGCTCCGACATGGAGCTACAGTTTGGGCCGATACCAAAAGAACTCAAATCATCACTAGCATGAGTATTTGACTACACAGAACCATTGGAACCAATCCACTAGTCCCATGCTAATCCAACTTGCCCTGTCGGGTCCTTTCGCCCTGGTGAGCTCCTGGCCATGGCAGTCTTAGAGCCACGTGATAGGTGTTGGGATCCTCTAGCATGAAGTATGCGAAATCCTTTTGTTTGATGACTCGACCAAGGACGACGGCCAATGCACGGCTCAACTTCGACCTTGCATTCCCATCCGTGTCCCGCATGTCGGCAATCTCTGCGGCAGCTGCATCTAAAGCCTGCTGGGAGGTCGTTGCACGCCAGGAGGGCCAACGAGCAATCTCAGAGTCTGCCTTGCGGATGATGAGCAGGGCTTTCCGATAGGCATCATTTTCGGCATCCTCATAGGTTGCTCCTTTCCCTGAAACATAATGGAACAGCCTGGCGGGGATGTAATTGGACCCATCTGGATTCTTCTTGGGGAGCGCAGGAAATCGCACGAGTCCATGGTAGAAGTCTTGTCTCTCTGAAGTCCGATAAAAGAAAGGGGTCTCACTCTTGTAGACATCACGGCCCAAAACGCGTTGCAAAGCACCGTGGATGTGTGATTTGGGTATCACGTCAAAGTTGATATCTTTTGCAACTGTCTGCTCCACGATAGCAGTGCGTTGAGAAAATGATCTCCGCTGCAAGGAAGCTTGGCCAGCAAAGTCCAGCACACTTGGGGCTGCCAAGGAAAGCAAAACTGCGGCACAAAGCCGCACTTTACGCGCCATTGTCCAACCACTTTCTGTCAGGTACAAACAAGACATGATATTCATTTATCATATTTATTGCACCCCGCTAGGCCAAACACCTAATACCATATGTAATCGTGTGAACGTTCGATAAAGCTGCTGAGTTGCTAGGCCTGCCATTATTCCCCCATGACACCTAACCTGAAATTCGATATGTCATGATATGTCGATGCTCCACTAAGGCGAAGAACCGTGGACACACATCTGCGAACGAGAGCAAATGTGTGTCAAAACGACAAGCAAAGACTCAATCAGTACGACAACACACCCCAGCCCAGGTACACATCACCAAAGATTCGACTTGTGTGGACTCTCAAATACTCAGGTAGATAGTATCTACCTGAGTATAGAACCCCTTAGAGGTGTGCTTGCGCAGAAGAAGCGAGGATCATGCGCATCGTAGAGATTCCTACCATCTCCTGCCCCCCTGGATGAAAATTTAATATTTGGGTGTTCACTGTCAGCTACCAGGCCACCTCTCTTCCAGTCAGTTCACTCACATCTTTCCAGCCTCGATAAGCCCGTGTAGGGCCGAGTCATCAAAGGTCTCGAAGAAAACAAGGTTGCCTTACAAGTTTGACTCAACAAAAGGGCTAAAACTCACCCCAGAGAAATCACCCCCTTCCACACCTACGACCACCACGGAAGCAACTTTCAACAGCTGAAATCACTATGCCCCACTCAGACACCCGTCGCTGTTATCGATCTTCAGCCCCACCATCGTCGCTGATTGACGTTGGAGGTGTAATATATTAAAAAGAAATATATATATATATATATGGGCGGGCGTTGATTAGGGGCTCCTGGGGGAGTGTTCCAAGACCTATTGAACTTAAAGTTGCTAGTGCTAATGTTAGCGCCCCCATATATATAGATATATATTTGTATATAAATAAATAGTGCAAGTGTAGTGACTCAGGAAGAAGTTAAAGAAGGAAGTGAGGGAAACCATAGTTGCCATTCATCAATTGAAATTGAACAGGAAGCATGTTACGGTACCTTATTGACTTGAATGATATAACATAGTTACAAAATGCATACAGGTATATCAAAGAACTTCTTTTACAACACAATGTTTTCAATGTATAAAGCCTACTGAAGCATGCTTGTGGTACAGTACATAGCGTCATTGAGTCATCAAGGCTGAACATGAAAAGAACCCAAGGACATAATTGGACTTTATTGATAAGATTGGAGGCTGGAGAATGAGCACGTATGCGGGTACTAAATTACCTAGTAGACTTTACCAAGTTGTAGAAAAACAAATTGTAGAAATACCAACCGCTACATTGCTAAAACCTCCAAAAAAGAAGAAACTCAAATCGATAAGTATAATACTGATGAATTTGTTAGTAACATGGAGAAACTGAAGCAAGTAAGGATCAGGAGACTATTTGTAGGAGTAGGCTAAAGTCATATCTGCCAGAAAATTGTTGTTACCGGCTACACAGTATTATTTGTACGCCCAACAAAAAGGTGGTTACACGAATTTGAAGGTGATGCCATAACAACAGACAAGACTTTTGGCATCACTGTTGGTGTTGAAATAGAGCCATTTGTTTATTCTATTGAATTTGACCTGATAATGTTTGATCCAATCTGTTTCATCGGCTTGGATATTTGTTGGAAAACCAAATGGTTTGTTGAGCAATACTTTGTTGCAACAGGTGATGCCAAACAACTAAAGCCAGTTCAGGAGCTGACTGAAAATAATGAAACCATATGCTGATGCAGTGATTGACTATATGTTTGAGCAACATATATTGGTGAAACATATAAGACATTGAACACAGAAGAGGATGAGCTGAATACGACCTGTAAACATGTATCAAGTCAGATTAAGAAATGGGACAGCAGAAAAACATGAATATGAAGTAGGTGAATTCTTGATATGCAGGGAGTACCCCGAATCACAAACATGTATTTTCATTGTAAATTCCAAAGACATTTTTCATGTTGGTAAAGACATCACTACCTTGAACTGAAGAATGTGAAAACAAATATGCTTCAATAACTAGAGGTTGACAGCGAAAAGCAGACTTCATTCCTTGGTGTTCAACTTGCCATTATGCTTAAGGTAGTCGCATTGGTGGACATATTACAATATTTGATCCTAGCAGCCTAGCATTTTCTTGTAAAATATCATTTTGGATGGAATTGGACAGCCTTTTTGTATAAGATAAGATTCGATAGGTACAATAATTGTACCAGTTATGATATTAATACAACGTACGTTATAAGCTACTTTGATGGAAAAGGCTACAAAATGCATGATCAACAGCCAAAAGAAAAGTACCAACAGAAGAATATGTAAGCGTTCAGCGGTTCTGGGAAAATATCAAGACTTAAAGTAGTGTAATTCTTTGTGGGTGTGGATTTCATATTGATGTGAAAGGTTGAAATGTTACGAATAATTCAACTTGTCAACGAGTTTCTAACCTTGAGCCTCGCTTACTGGATAATATAGTGCCTTGTTGTTGTATATATATAGATGTAGTTGTAGTTGCAACCAATTCTGTGTACAGATTTGGTCCAGCTTTGTCAACTGCATGGCCCCAGCTTCTTTACGCAGCGCTTCGAAGGAAACCGACATTGGTGCAAGGATGAGATGAAGCGCTGCGGATTTGAAATTGAAATGCTGCAACAGGTCGGCAGATGACATTGGTGCAACTGCATCAGAAGACATTGTTTATAAACATGTGTTCTGTGTATAAACTGTGTTTATAAACTACTTATCAAACCAAAAGACCAAACACAACAAAAAAACAATGTTTTCCAAACTAGTCAAAACATATGTGAGGCTCAAACAAAAAAAACAAATATTTGGAAACTATGCTCAATCCTAAAGGCAGAAAACCAAAAGAAAACAAAACAACAATGATTTGGAAATTATGCTCAATCCTAAAGGCAAACAACCCACCAAATCATTGTTTTTTTTGTTTTCTGCCTCTAGGATTGAGCATAGTGTCCAGATCATTGTTTTTTTGTGTTAATGGTATCCCCAGGGCGCCCCCTAATCAGCGAGCACCCATATATGCATGCATGCATGTATGTATGTATGTTTTTATGCACAACATTAATATCAAATTTAAATCAGTGTATTCGTCTCATTTCCACCACCATGCTTCCTGCTGTAGCCATCCCTCAATTCCATTGGTATCCAATAGTTACACGACGTTTCATCATCTGCAATGCTGGAGGCCTCCAATTGAATCTTCAGTCAAGTTTTTGGCCTCTTCTGGGAGTGGGCTTTAGACCCTTCTTTGCTACTTCGCAGCCAAGGCACGCAAAGTGTTGCGGAGCAGCTCAGTGTCTTTCACGGCATCTTCTACCTCAAAATCTGGCATAAATTCAGTCTGGGCAAACCCAAAACCACACCCTCATCCAGGATCCTTTCAATGATAAATAAATACATTGATATAATATATATATATTTGTCCTTGTAGCAACGATTAGTCAAGACAGGTGATTGGTGGTTGACACAGGGATTCATTTACGAGAAACTTGTGGATGTGTTGTGACTTGACCAAAGGCGAGGGGACCAAAATGGTGCAAATCCGGCAGCTCGGTATGGTTGATGTTGACCAATGGCAGCTCGGTATGACCAAGACCTGGGGCAAATTCTTCCCCTTTCAACCTCCGACTTCTGCACCAGCTGTCCGGCCACTTTCTGTCTGAGGGGCGATGTGGTGTGCGAGGTCTGCTTCCGGGTTCCCGCCATCTGCGGAAGAGCAGCGCTCCAACGCCAAGGGCACCTGAAGGAAGGCACCAACGAGTGTCCCAATAAAGATTGCTAGACTCAGATCATCAGTAGTCTTTCTATACAACAACAATCCAACATAACTGATGCAATTCATACAAAACCCGAATTGTGGAAAGTCCGAAAGGGGACATCTTGTGATCTCATTTGGTTTGCCACATGCCCAAAACAAAGGAAGACTGTGAAAAGCAAAGTGATGCAAATTTCAAGCACTATAGGTGCTTGGCACACAACTCGTTTTTCTTCCGAAAGGGCTACGCTCCGAATCTCCTGGCTTTGATTGTTGCGCAGTCTGCACTGCAATACGAGTATTATCAAGTCAAGCCACTGCTCCTGCATGCCCTCAGCAAGGTGGCTACCCCAAGACTTGACAATAGTCCATGCTATTCAATCTTCAACCATTTTGTTGCTGTCACACCGCTGCAGCGCAAACGCTGCAAAGCAACTCAGCAGCAATGATTGGAAGTATGCTCCTCAGCCAACATGTCGCACTCTGATACGATCCGGGTCTGCAACGCAGGTCTCAGTGCGGCCTGATGAGACCATCCCACAGTTCGCCGGGACCCAGGCTGAGTCATATCCGGCGCTGCTCCAGGATGTACGCATTGAATCGCTTTGCGATGTAATCTTCTTCGTCTTTCCAAGCCTCACTTCAACTTCAATGATGGTGTCACCATAGCAAGCTGCCTTGTTGCGGTCTGCGGAGAGGTAGACACCGCTTCCCAGCATGCCACCTGTGGAAGGGATGAAACCATCTGCAGCGATGGCTTGTGCATTCCGCGCAGAGGTTCCATGATACATGGTCATCTGTCTACCACCAAAGCTGCTCCAGTCACGCTTTGCGCTTGTGGAGGACTTTTTCTCTTTTTTGCCCGAGCCACCACAGCTGTTGCAAATCTTGCGCACCGTGGTTTGGCTACCAAGGCCGCCTCCCACCAAAGCGCCCGGAGGACCCAGAATCAAACCACCCAGCAATGCTCCACCAACGAACCCCGCAACTCCAGCTTGTTCTTCGACGGAGCCAGATCCTTGGCAAGTTGAGCAGGTGACTTTCGCCTGCTCATTTCCCATTGCCAAGACTAGGAGTCTCCACAAAAAGAAAGAGCCACTGGGTGTCCGGTCGAAAGGTCTTGAGCCCAGCCGCTATACGGAAAAATACGCTCATCATGAGCAAAACTGCAAATCTGATTTACAGAATCTCCTGACTGCATTGCTTACAAATGACTACTGTAGCACATGAGCGATGGAAAATATTTCCGTTGAGTTATCACATGGGCCTTCCTTACCTCGTTCTCCAATCTCGCATCGTTTTTGGGGTGTAATCTCGTTCTCCATTCCTGTATCTGTTTTGTGCAATGTATACCCATCTCGTTCTCGAGAGGTGTTCCTACCTCGTTTCACCAGCTAAACATGTCATTAACTAAACCATTTCAAACAAATGGCGAAATTGATGCCAATCTCGTTCTCGGGGTGTTCCTACCTCGTTTCGCTAACTAAATCTGACATTGGGCTATAGAAAAGGAACGCCCCTTCCACTAATCTTGACTACCGCAAATAAAAGCCGTTGCTCACATGTTGCTATAGGGGCTTGGAGCTGCGTGCCACCCCCAGACTGGATGTACAGGGCTGGAATTGTCGAACCCAGCAGCAATGGCCTCCAACCTAATAGCGATGGCCTCTAAACTACTAAACTGTTCATTTGCCTTTTGCGCCTCAAGCTCTCAGTTTCTCGATAGTCGATAGATGCTTCCAAGGGCGCGCGATGGTTGGGTGTGTTCTTGTTAGAGGCTTTCTTTCTGCCCGAAAAGAAGAACATAAGTGACATAAGAGCATTCTCTGCAGTCCACAGGCCGCAGAAAACGAAAGCTCTATTAGAGTCTATAGAGAAGCACTTTGCAAAATCACAGGATGCCAGACACCACCGTCGTGTCTAGCCATGTGGAACAAGAGTAATTACGCCTCCTGCTGCCCTTGATTTCTGCGATCTTACGTGACCTACAGCGAGTTTCCAGCCACCCTGCGGTTCTTTGCTACCACAGTCAGATGAGTTCTGGGCCGAACAACACTGCACCTACAAGTGAGCCAACCGCGCGTTGTACGCAACTGTTTCTTCTTGAGCAGCTTTTGTCACTAGTACGGGATTGGTTTCTGGTCGACAGATGTGATTCTTTGCTTCCCTCTTCTTCTGGATGCTGCGCATTTTTTTCCACCAAAGAGTCCGGTGCCAGTGCCACAAGTTTCAACATCTCTCTAAGCTGCTGTGGAAAATGACTTGACAAAAAAGGCCGGCGGAGGAGTAGATAGACAAGTATGCTGCAGCACTGCAGCCTTAACTGATCAAGGTTTAGTGTTCTGCAGGTCAATGGAAAAGCGGATCTCAAAAAGTTGTTCTAAGTGCCAAGTGTTAAATGTAGAAAGTGTATTTATAGCTTTATACCGTTGATCCCAACAGCCACCCTTTTGCATGGCCACCACCACATGCATTCGGTCAAAGCTCCCACTACCGGACGCACGACGCACGAAATATCACACAAATATGATCAAGATTGTGAGCATGCGGCTCTTCAGACTACTCCCTCGCTGCCCAGGCACATTTGCATCGGTGCTGCCAACACGAACCAGGCGCTCCTCTCTCGCTTGACGCTGGGCCTAGAGATGGCGGCCAAGTAAAAGAGATTTGATTTGAAGTACACAGCAAAACCTGCTTGCTCGCTAAGTAAACATCAAGCTGTGCTTGTTGTCTTGCAATTGACATTACTATCCTGTCATCGCCCTGTGATCCCATACAAAGATACTACCCTCTGATCAATTGCAATTCATCGGGGTTCAAGAGTCCTCTCGAAGGTCTTATGCACCAGTTTTATTGAGCGATAACTTGGAACACACATCATGAATCATTGTGTGTAAGTTAGGAACCTTGCCGCAACAATAAAATGAGCAACTTACAGCATGTCACTTCAACCTATAGCCAGTTTCTTCGTTTCGCCAGCGTCTTCGAATGCAAAGTCAAGTCCAGGTCTGACTCGCCAAACAACTGCAAGATTCCAATAGTCTGTCTGAAATTTGCCGCCTCAAAATGAGGGTTCCGATTAGTTCCAATGTTGTTTGAACATCTATTTGGGTGCGGCTTTAATTCGGAATGTATTTTAAACCTTGGGGCTCCCAGTTCGCTGCTTGAGGACATGCAATGTTGCGGGTGCAATGTGGCGTGGCTGACCTGTAAAACGAGCCATTTCAGCAACAGGCCTGACACTTATATAAGAGAAACAGCAGGCAAAGTACATTGGAAGAACTAGTGCAGATTTGTACCGGTTGCCTCCCCCCTCAGAGCGAGCCAAAAAGGACAAGATACCAAAAGCATCTTAAAACCATGGCTGGCGACCTTGAGAAGTTCCAAGGGAGAGGCTGGTTGTTTTGGATGCCAGCCTAGCTCCAGCAAAGGAACCAAAAGAGAGCAACGATGAGTCAGCTTCAGAAGACGTGGTGAAAAAAATCGTTTATGTTGTTGGTGCAGTGCAGCGTGGTCGACATGGAAGAAAATCCCGTTTTTGTGGCAGGCGCTGCATAGTGGACGAACTAGTGCACATGGGGCTAGCGGCTTGGGGGGGAAGTGCGCAGCGCCTCCCGCAAAAGGAACAAATACAAAAAACAACTAAAGTATCTTGGAGTGATGCCCACCCTGAGAGGCGATGTGGAAGAAGGCAGGGCAGCTTGTATTGACAAAGCATCCTGACAACAGCAATAGAAGCAAAAATCAACAAAAGCGACAAAGGACAAAGCAACTAATGCCGAATGCCGCTGCCCCACAAATATAGACCACTTTCCAAGTGCATGGCGCAACACATTTTGTACTGAGAGCAGCAAAAAGCAACCGAAGCAACAAGAGCAACAAAGCAGGAACGGCAGAAAAGCAAAGGCAACAGAAGCAAAAACAGGCACCAAAAGCAAAACAGGCAAGAACAAAAACAACACAAAAAACAAAGAACAGCAGAAACAACAGCAACAAAAAACACAACTGAAAAAAACATAACTGACAAATACTGAACACGTGAACAAACTCCAAATCGATTTCCTATCAAAATCCATTAAGAAATGCTCATCCGAATCTATTTCCTATTACCCATTGTAGTTGGGAGGGCACAATCCGTTTTTGTATGTCACAGACATCCGAAACCCGAGTCATCAACTCCACTGAGTCAAACTTGCCGGGCGCACATTCAGCTTCACACGTTCCGAGATCTCGCGCTCGATGCTCGATTCAATGCTGACCTGGTCGACTCGCATCACTTACAAAAGACCCTGCGGGATGGTCAAAGCTAGCATTTCTTAAAAATATACAGTAGGGACAGGCCCAACTTATGGGTTTCACAAGGTTTTCCCGTGAGTAACAAATGGCAGGGCCCAGGGACAGAGGGTGCAACAACATTTTCCACTTCTATAGCAGGGGGGCAGGGGGGTGGATGACAGATTGTTTTTGAGCCGTAGCCAAATCTTTGTTGAAATCGATTGAAATCGCGAAGAGAGCAAAATTACAGATTCGGTCTTCTTTCCCACCAAACTGAAACACAGAGGGTAACATCCACGCCGAAACAGCAAACTTCTTGAACACCACTCGCAGAAGCTGTGAACATCTCGACCTTTCTTCTCCCGGCCCGAAGCGCGTACTCGGAATACATGGGGCTCCGGGCTTCCCTTTCCACCCCCGAAATGCAAATTCGGGGCTCCAAATTAAAGGACCGGATAACCCCACATATGAATCTTTACGAATCTTAAGTTTCTAAAGCACAAAGCAGTCAGAGTCTCAATAGCTTCTACAACATGGCCTTGTCAGGAAGTGATATCAGATTCACACAACAGAGGGGTGGGAGAGAAGGTGTAAGAGAGTGATGTGCACGACAGATGTACGAAGTATTGTGCACACAGGTGTGCGCAGCCGCAACTAGCCAACAACGCCAGCGGTTGTCGCACGTCCGCACTATGGGGCATAATGTACTAAAGTTGTACTACCAAGTCGCCAGTTCTCATCTTCCAGCTCCCCAGCTACTCCGAGCACTACAGTTGTACTACAAAGTCGCCAGTGCTCATCTTCCAGCTCCACAGATACTCCGCGTACTAAAGTTGCACTAGAAACTCGCCAGTTCTCATCTTCCCACTCCCCAGCTACTCCGCGTACTAAAGTTGTACTACCGAGTCGCCAGTTCTCATCTTCCAGCTCCCCAGCTACTCCGCGTACTAAAGTTGTACTACAACATCGCCAGTTCTCAGCTTCCAGCTCCACAGATTGCTCCGCGCACTAAAGTTGTACTAGAAACTCGCCAGTTCTCAGTTTCCAGCTCCCCAGGTTGCTCCGCGTACTAAAGTTATACTACAAAGTCGCCAGTTCTCAGCTTCCAGCTCCACAGATTGCTCCGCGTACTAAAGTTGTACTACAAAGTCGCC